CATTAGCCGTGCAGAGTTCATGGTGTGACCAAGGGACACTTCATCATCCCACCCATTACACAAAGACCAAGGAATGGGAACTCCTAAGAGAGCAGAGCAGCCTGCAGAGGAATAGGGGTGATACATGATCACACCTGCTTTCCTGGAGGTAGCTGAGCCCCAGCTCACACCCAAGCACCACACAGACACTGGCTCACACCTGCTTTTCTCAAACCCTAACCCTAACCCTAAACCCTAACCTCAACCCAAATCCTTACCATAAACCTAACCCTGGAAGTAACCCTAACCGTACCTCTAACCCAAACCCTACCCTAATCCTAAACCTAAGCATAAGCCTCAGAAAAACTCTAACCCTCACCCTAACCCTAACCTAATCCTAAAACTAACCAAAACCCTAACCCCTAACCCTAATTGTAACCCTAACTCTAACCACAACCCTAAACCAAAACCCAACCCTAAGCCTAACCCTAATCCTAAGGCTAACCCTAACTCTAACCCTAACCTTAACTTTGAATGAAACACTAGCCTTAACCTAACCCTTAACCTAACCCTAACCCTACTCCTACCTCTACCCTTAAACCTAACCCTAACCCCAAACCTAACCCTAGACCTTACCCTAACCCTAATCCTAACCCTAACCTTAATCCTAACCCGAACCCTAACTCTAACTCTAATCCTAGCCCTATTTCTAACCCTAACCCTAACCCTAACCCTAATCATAACTCTACCCCTAATCCTAACCCTATCTCTAACCTTAAACATGACTCTACCCCTTTGCCCACCCCTAACCCTAACCTAACCTTAACCCTAACCGTAACCCCTAACCTTAATTCTAACTCTAACCCCAACCCTAAACCTAACCCTAACCCTAAGCCTAAGCCTAACCCTAATCCTAAACCTAAGGCTAACCCTAATCCTAAACCCAACCCTAACCCTTACTCTAACCCTAACCTCAACCCTGAATGAAACACTGGCCATAACCTAACCCTTAACCTAACCCTAACCTTAACTCTAACCTGAACCCTAACCCTAACCTGAGCCTTAACCTTAACACTAACGTTATCCTAATCCTAGCCCTAACACTAACCCTTACTTAAACCCTAGCCCTTAACTTACCTGAACCCTAACCCTAACCCTAACCCTAACCCTAACCCTAACCCTAACCCTATCCTAACCTTAACCCTAACCTAACCCTAATTCTAGCCTTAACCCTAACCCTTACTTAAACCTTTGCCCTTACCTTACCGTAACCCTAACCCCAACCCTGGTTTAAACCCTACCCTTAACCTAAGCTGAACCCCAAGCCTAACCCTTTCCCTAACCCTAATCCTAATCCTAACCCTAACCCTGAGCTTAACCCTAACCCTAATCCTAACACTAACCCCAACCCCAACCCTAACCATAACCTTTACCCGAACAGTAATCCCTAAAGTTGTGAGTTTTTTTCATTGAAGTATTTACTTAGTTACTTCTTTGCTTGAAAAGTTTGTTTTTTAAATACTTAATTACTAAGTTACTTGGTTAATTAGTTGATTCCTAAGTGGTTAGTGATTTAATTGGTTAAGTAGTTACCTGGTTAGTTGATTAATTGGGTAATGGTTAGTTTGTTAATTGGTTAATAGGTTAATTAGATGCTTGGTAAATTTATTAATTATTTACTTTGGTTATTTGTAATTTTGTAATTAGTTTTTTTCTGAATTAGTTAATTGTTTAATTGATTAAGTAGTGAATTGATTACTTAGGTAACTTGGTTATAAGTTAATTGTTTAACTACCTAATTATGTAATTGTTAAATTGGTTAATTGGTTAATTAGTTAGTTTCCTAATTTAATAATTAATTTATTTCCTAAATCAATTCTTAGTGAATTGGTTAAT